AAATGCAATTTTGATGCAACATCAACAGCAGATGCAAATGGTTATAGATGCACAGGACTGGGATATACCTTGGAAAGTCTTAGGGAACCCAAGTGACATTCCAAAAGCTGAAAAATCTTCTGGAAGAGGTAATCACTGCTATAGTTTCCATACTTGCCTGCACTGCGATTGGTTTGTATGGGATCTACGAGTATATTCGAGGAAAAGAAGAATGTCAGAATGGATTCTTTCATTTTGGTGATGAAGTGCTAGCTTTGCTTGCCAGCATGCAGGGCTCAATAAAAGCAGACAGGCCTTCAAAAAATTGCAGCATAAATAGATGAACTCTTTAGAGTAATATAAGTTCTGTCATCTAGAAGTGAAATATAGACCTAAGTGCCCACCAAAGTAAAAGCTGACCGCACATTCTGCAGATAAGTGTTAAAGTTTTCTCAGTGTGTCTTGGCTGAGAAATGTTTTAACTACACATTTCCTTGCCACAATAGACAGAATGAAAGCATTTGAAGTCAAATCCATTTTTCAAAGGAAGAAAACAAAGCATCCATAAGGAAAAAAGGCCTGTCACAGGGTGAGGTCTCCAGATAGCCACTCTTCTGAGGGAAATTGCAATTAGCTGTGCAATAGGGAAGGTGAACTTAGTTGCATTGCAACAGCATTTATGATCTCTGTAGCTAGAATGCTGATAGGGACGTGCAGGGGGTTGGTTTCAAGATTGCCTTGTGAGACAGAAGGTCAGGATTCCTGTGGTCTCCTGTCATATTTAATTCATATCCTCTAGCCTTCTTCACCATGTTTATTGAATTACAGGAATAAAATTAAATGAACCAAAAACAAAAGAAGAGAGGACACGGCCACTCCTGATTTCTTTTACGTCCTTATTGCACAGCTGACTTTAGTGGGCTTGTAAGAGAGCATCTTAAGCAGAATTTGGAAGGAGGGAAAGGTACAATTTAGTATAACCCCTTTCACTACCCCCATAATTGCACCCAAGTAATTTATTGCAAGGAGTGACTATTTGCATGTGGGAGGAAGAATACATTTTTTACCAGTCAAGAATCTCCCTGTGTAGTTTTTAAGGCTAACCTTTGTGTACTCCCTGTGTGTGTTTATCAGATTCCTTCTTGCCACAAACGAGGTGGCAGTAGAATGGTTTTTCAAAACCATTCTTTAGAATAGCATCACTGGCAATTCATCACATGAGTACTAAGAGGCAGCCCTCACATACATTAAAAATAACAGTTTCAGGGAAGTACCCTATTGGCATCCTTATAATGATGATTCCCTGCAATCCTCTTAGTTAAATTGATACAACCTTTATCCTCCCTTCCCAAGTGAGATGCAACAAGCACAGGGTTTCCAACAGGCCTGCAGCGTGCAAGCCTCCTCTACTGCCGGAGCATGTAGGGAGGAGCTCTAGATATGCTCTGTGATTTTGGGATGAAGATTTTGTTGTGTCCTCTCCACTCCAATTATCCTGTTTTTATTGTCCTGTATACTGCCTCCAAGACCCAGGCTGGTTTGGGTACAATTGTGGAGCACTGATTTCTCAGCTACCTCTTCCATCAAATCTACACAGTGTCTGCGCTGTGGTTTAGACATCGTACAGTTAAAATAGAGCAATCCCCTGGTGCCAGCACAGTCATATCAGAGCAGTCATATCAGAACTTCACACAAATCACCTGCATTGGTACCCAGTAACATCTTTGTAACAGTGTCATTTGGGTTTAGAGCTAGGTGTGGGCAAATCTTGTTGGCTGAGTCTGACCCGAAATACTCATCAAAAAACTAATGTTTTGATGTTCCATCCAAACCTGCAAGCTCACCAATATTTAGCCTTGGCATTTGAATTGCTGGAAATGTCACAGCTAATAAATAACGTATTATTTTCTGAGCTACAATGTACATTTTTATTTTAAACCTCTGCTTAACTTCCAGAAATTCAGTGTTCTGCTCACGTACGTGTCAACCTATGGGAAGGCCGCCTTTCCACTTAATACATTTAATAAAGGTGACCAGATGCTTTGTGTTTTTAATGGCTTGTTCTGCATCCCAACAAAATGTCCCTGTTTTGGCTGCGACTACAGATGATTCATCCTGAAACCCAGCCCAGCTGCCCTGACACAGCCGAGGCAGGGCACAGTCAGAAACCAAGCCATCTGTGCAGAAGAAGTGGGCTGGAGGAGTGTTTTGTCAGGGAAAGACTGTCATTTCTTTGTCACTATGTTTTCGAGGCATCCAATAACCAAAAAGTCCCCGGCCTTTGCAGTCAAATTGTGCAGTTATAGCCCATGTCCCATCATACTCTCTTCCTTTCCCCCTTGCTCAGAAACCCTTCAGCCTGCTCTGCTATGTAAGCTCATGTGTAGATCAAATGTTTCTGTAAAATGTAAGGGGTTGCTTCCACTTTTGTTCTTTCCAATCATATGGCAAAATTCCTGACCCTGTAGCTGCATCAGCCAAATCTCATGCTAGAAAAAGCAAGAGGGATTCATTTATGGCTTTTCTGGCTAATTAGCTCAGCCCAGTTCTGTATTAGCATCACTCCGTTGTCAGCACAGCCAAAAGAGACATCCTGCATTCGCGAACACTCGCGCCACTCGTTTGCAGGCTTGCCGAATTCAAGGGCAAAATTCTACCTGCAGGCAAAGCTCCCCATTGCCTCAGCAAGAGGCAGGCATGAATATTTGAAGGCAAAGCCTGGTCTGGAGTGTGTCATTGAGATAAGCCACTTCAAGCCCTGAGAGGGTTCTGGCCCCACAGCATCTTTCTCTTGACCTGCAGGCTGCGTTGAAGCAGTGCTGACACTTCTCCCTGCCCAGACACTGGAGCACACAGGAAGAGAGTGGTGGGAAGGAAAGGTTCCTGTCAAGTTTTCTTTACAGCCTATGTTCTCTAGCATTTGAAAGAACCATTGCAACTCAAGTATTCTGCAATGCATACAAATGACAAATACTCTTCAGAGGCAATAAATTAGCAATTTCAAGGCTTTACTTCCCCTCATGGACTAATTGCCAGAGATTATAGTATATTATGAGAAAGCAATGATACTAATGCCTAAATATGCTTCAGTGATTATAGAGCTATCCTCAATAACCAAGCTGTTTAAATGTCAATGCAAGAAAGCTCTTTATTATGAGATTAAACATTATTTTGAAGCAATAGGAACTTCCCAGGCTTCATGCCTGCAATAATGCTGTCTTGGAGCAATATATATTGGACAAAATATGGGCTTTTTTAAATGTGTATGGTGAAGGGTCCCAAAATATTTTTGTGCTGCAGACTTGAACAGCATTCCTGATAAGAAAGAGGATTTTGATATCTTTTTATTTTGCATTTGTTACTAACATGCTGCTGCCTTCATTCCTCCACCTTATGTTAATACCTGCATATCACCACTGTACAGAGAAGATAAATTCTGTTGTTTGTTACTGTAGGGGAATCAAAGCTCCAAGCCCTTCTTGTTTTCACAGCTCTAAGTACTACTGTCTTGCACAGATGCTTTTGACAGCCCTACCCCTCACACCTAAATAAATCTGTTTATAGCCAGCACCAAGAGAACTGTTGGAAATGAGACAGAAGTTCCAACTTTCAGGTTCAGCTGTTGACATGAAGCAGAGAACAAAATTTGCGTCTTTAAGCCACAGCTCCAGTTCCACAGTTCTGGAGATGACAGTTGGTGTGGATTTAAAATGGAGGGAGGCTGAAAAGCCTAAAAGCATTTAGCATCCCACTGATCTCCTATAGGACTCCCACACACTATGGATCTTGTCACACGGCTGCACAGCCTTCTCCTATAGATGACAGCAACATTATCACCCCTCAGAAGAAGACTGTTTTTTTCCTAGAAAACCCTAAACACTGCAGTTGGTATGATGTTCACCAGGTCTCATAACTGCAAATCAGAAGAGTTCCAACACAGAAAAAGATCATAAAATCTCATGATCCCTAGAATCTGAAGGTACCTATTCATCTCATTTGGAGGCTGTAACTTAAACCAATAGAGGGTAAAGCTCATGTAGGAGGCTGCTAAACATCATTGGAAGTTCTAAATATATTCTAAAATCATAAAAATACCCTATAAATATAAAAACCTGGGGAATGTCTTTGAATCTGAAGTCTGATTTCTAGTAAACTTAGTAATAATAACTAGTAATTACTGCAACAGTATAGAAAACATCAAGATAGGCCTGTGGGGACAGAACACGTAAAATTCAGGACATGAATTGCAGAAAGACAACTGCTAATGAAGTTGTGGTGGAATTCCCTCTCGAAAATAATTTGTTTAGGAAGTATTGTTTCTTAGGCATAGCCTGCAGATCTCCTCCATGGTGTGCTCCTGAAGGGAAGAGGTACTTCATACTCAGATGACCAGGGAACTTACCAGCCAGAGTTGCATTATGCCCATCTGTAGCAGGACTGGATACCTGGATCCATGTCTTAACATCTGCTGCTGCAACCTGGCTATCTTTAATTTTGCATTTTTGTTGCTTCATCTTGGCTGATTTCTTCAGCCATTTTCCATCTCGTCTATAAAATGTAATGCTTGTTTACCTCAGAATGTCTGAAGCTCTTTCTGATGCTCAGGTAAAAGACACCTGCCATGTATGCTCAGAAAAGACATAAATTGCTCTATCATTTGTACCATTTTCAAAGATCTATTAAAATCACAGTGTGACTGACAGGGAACATGCTGAAAGGCCATGAGAACTCTTTTACTGCTCTTCCAGGCATACAATAATCTGACATCTTTTATGTTTTGTCTTGCTTAGAATATACGACTGGAAACCATGTCTTTATCCTTACAGCAGTAATGAACTTACAATACTAATGTTGAGTAAACTAGAAGTAAAACATTGACACTGCTCAAAGGAGAAATATGTGGATTTATAATAGAATAGGGAAAACTTACCTGCATCCGGCCACTTTGATGCAAATATGATTTGAAACCAGATTAAATTCCTCTTTTCTGAAACGCCCCATTGTTCCCAGCCCTCACTTACCATGTATCCCGGCGCACACATACACTTCCCCGTGATGCTGTCACAGTCTGCACCGTTCTGGCAGGGGCAGGTCAGCTGGCAGCCTTCACCGTAGTACCCAAGGGGACAGGTTTCATTGCAGTAGAGTCCAGCCCAGCCAGCTTTGCAGCTACATTCTCCAGACAATGGATGGCAGCTAGTGGAGAGAGACAGACACCAAGGAGATGAGGACTGAAAGAAAAATACAGTCTGTAACCAACAGCAGGGCTGGAAGGGACCTTAAAGCTCATCCACTTTCCACCCCCTGTCATGGGCAGGGACACCTTCCACTAGAGCAGCTTGCTCCAAGGCCCGTCCAACCTGGCCTTAAACTCTACCAGGGATGGGGCAGCCACAGCTTCTCTGGGCACCCTGTGCCAGTAGTGAAGAATTTCTTCCAAATACCTAATCTAATTCTATTCTACTTTAATTTGGGTTTTAAAATGAGTGCCACCTCAGCAGAACTTTTCAGCAGGGAGTGGTAGAAAGGGAAGTGCTTTGGAAGTGAAAAATCTCCTTGGGAAAAGAGTTTTGCAGGGAATATTTAGCCATAGTGAACAGAACTGATCACTACCTGAAGCCTTGGGATTAATTGGGGCAGGAGTCAATAGGAGCCCTGGGACTAAATCTCAGCTGTGCAGGGGAATGAGTCAAGTTCCATTCTGCTGAATAATGAGCATTGCAGCCCAACATTAATCTTCTGGCTTTCATTTCTATTCAGACAATTCCACACTGCTGTGAGAGCACACAGAGAGAAAAGTAGAACAGAGAATCAAGCCCAAAAAACTGGACAATGCCTGGTCCTCCTGTATCTGCTGGGTGGCAGGCTTGACTTACTCCTTTGTTCCTCCTGCTATGAAACAGTTTATTCACCGATTTCTCTTCTACAAACAGAAAGGGCTTATCCCAGGTTTTCTTAAGGCAGTAACTTCCCACAGCAGGAGCCACGCTGAGGCTGCGCCGGGGGCAAGGGAAGGAGGAGAAGGCTGGAGATGTGATAAGTCTCAGTTTGGTGAGGTGAGGTTTCCAGGGGATGGGAGGGGAGAGTACAAGGAGGTGTCCAGTTTGGGGAGATGAGGTGGTCAAAAGAGAGAGAAGGGAATGGAGAGGGAATCTAATCTTTGGAAAAGGACCTCACGCTGTGTAAGGCTTCACCTGAGAGCTCAGCATGATCTGGGCGCCTCTGCAGCACGAGGTTGTCCCATAATAGTGCTGCCTACCCCTCAGTGAGAAAGATGAGGAATACTATGCTAGAAATCAGATTTTCTTTGTTATTCTCAGAACAAGAACAATAAAGAGAGAACGGGGTTCTACAGGGTGGCACCTCTCTATGGACCTGTCTCCTGCTTTCTTGCCTCATAGAAACTATTTATTTTCCTTTATGATTAACTTATTGCTCTGGTTTAATGCTGCAGACACGACTGAATGGGTTCCTTTACACCTATAAAATTAATATTGTATATGTTAATTTTCAAGGTAACCTCATAAAACGTAATTTCCAAGTATCCATCTAGCAATTACTGGTAGGAGAGGTTAGTCATATACTTGTGACTAAGAACGATCAGATTCTGTGAGTGTCATATGTTTCATCATAAATAGTGTTTTAGTGACTAATTAAACCAATTCATCAGCTTAACAAACTACCATCCATGAAATTCTTCTGACAAAGCAGTCCCTGAAATTATGGTTGCTCACAAAGCACCTCTTAACATTCAGATGGAAATAATAAAAGCTTGTTCTTTTCCCCCCTCTGTGTCTATTAATCATTACCTAATAGGAGCAGAAAGCTAAACGTTAAAGAACTATTCTAAAGTGGATTTGTTGTTTCTCTGTTTTCACTACTGCTGCTTATATCATACACTTCCACGAGAACGGCTTCTGTTGGCTAAATTTAATCTTTCAAAGGTAATATATGATCATGGCAGTCTGAATCAGCCTGTGACGATTCAATTGAAATACTATACTCAGGAAGAATTTCGACTCCAAGGTTGTCTCCTTTTTGCATGCATGCAAGCTCACACGCACTAAAATGAGAAGCAAGAAACAAATAGGTTTTGTGGAAGAGTCTGCAGGAGACTGGGGGCTTGGACTCCAAATCAAAGTGCAGTAGAAGGTTGAAACCATATTCTGCCTTGCTAATGCTTTGTCCACTCTTTCATGAGGCTACGAGCTAGCAAAAGTCCAGTGCAGATGTTTGGGTCCCTGCTTCTGTAGACTCTTCCCACTGAAGCAAGAACAATTTTGTTACCAGCAGAACATATCAGAGTTCTGGTTTTCTCCTAGGCCAAGCACTGGCAGTCTTTAGTGCTTTGAAATATTTGTCTTTTGGTGCCTTACAGAGTGCTGGCATTGTAGGATTAGGAAAAAGCCTCCACATTAAAGTCCAGAGTTATGGTACCCATAACAATAGTTCTGGATAGGTAGCAGCAGTTGGTGAACAGACTGTACAGCAAGGGAAGGGAAACTTCTTGACAACAGCAGAATAAATCTTTCCAAAGCATTTGTCAAACCACACAGTAACACACACTATAGTACTATGGTAGCCTAACAAGAAAAGGATCTCAACATAGCTAGGTCTGAAATTAAATTGCAGGCTGTGTCCAGCAAGGAGACACAGGAGACTTTCTCAGATACAGAGAACACATTGCCCTGAATCAAAACCACTTGTTTGACACTGAAGGTGGCTGAGATTTAGATGTCTAACCTAGCTGTTCTTGTCCCAACCCTGTCAGTGAATCCGTCCATGTACCTTACTCTTTCTACCTTCATTTTTCCCATTTGTAAAATGATGATCCAACCACCTATGCACCCAGACTGCCCAGTGAAATAAATGCTAGTTGCATTGGGGCATTAATGGCAAAGGTGTTAGGGCAAAGAATATGAAATACAGCTAGAAATGTGAATTATTTGTATAATTCCTTCCTTCCTGCTCTGGATAGCTTTCTAGGTCTCATGAGTCCATGGAACACTTTGGCAGCACAGGTTACAGCATATGTAAGGCACTTCCCCATGCCACTAATAAACTGGAATCAAGAAACACACACAGTTCCTCCAGAGAAGGTTCCCTGAATGCATGGATAAGAGTCAATCCTCCCTTCAACAGATCCCAGAAAGCAAACCCACTCTTGAAAGACTTTGGCAGTGTTACACATTAGTATTGTGCATTGAATCTTAACTTCTATTTCTTCAAACCTCTTGCATAACAGGAAGGAATCGTGTCGAAACCCTAGAGTGAATGCAAGCAGCCAAGTGGTCCTCTGGCTCTAGGCCAGGTAGAGGCAGAAACGAAGCTGTCCACCAGGCACAACATGGCAGGAGAAGGAGATTGTTCCATGGCTCTTGCTGCAGTTTGGGAGCCAGAATATGGTCCCTGGTTTCTGACCCACATTTACAGCCATAAAGGAACCTTTATTTTTAACTCACTAGCTGAACTGAAAAACACAAAGTCTTTTTTTGACCTTTAAATTTTTTAAGCATCTAATTTTGAGGAAATCTGAGGAAACTGGGTAACTTTCTTCAGGCGAATTGGGAGAAGAAATCCTTTCGACAGCACAGTCTGTTCCAATTGCTGAATTTGTTCTCCACACATCTTTCAGCCAAAACAACTTCTTCCCAGTGAATTTCCTGACTTTCTGTTTATACACTAGCACTAGTCATCTCATCTTAATTAACAACAGCCCTAAACCTTACTTAACAGTATTTTCTGCCTTTTGGTGTCCATACTAAATCAGCCTCGTCCAAGCACACTCTTGACTTCGGTCAAGGCAAAACTTCATGCAAAGTACATGGGGTTTGGACCTTCAGACTTTTCATTCTCTGGGGATGTATCCATTTCATTTCATTGTCACAGTGTCTTCCTTCCCTTCTCACGTCTCTGACCTGGGAAAGACATTACTGAAGGTATATGGCTCTGCATGCTGGCTCCTCACCAGTGTTCAGGACTATTCCAGTTGTCCACTTTTCTCTCTGCTTTTCAGAAGAGCAAGCCAGGGTTATGCCTTTCTGACTATTGTACACTGGGCTTTCTGCATAGGGGAATTTTCATAGGTGTACCCTTCCCTGTGGAAGGACAGGCCAAGTCACCAACACATTCTAAACTACCTAACTCTGGGGTTGTTCAGAGTTTCCATACAAAGTGCCTTTCAGCGTGCTTTGATGCAGAAATTATTGGATGATGCTCTTCAGCCATTACTATGCAGGAGGTTAGACTAGATGATCACACTGATCTCTTCAGACATTAAAATAGACGTATGAAAATAGAAAAGCTGATTGTGTATTTCTTAATGCTCCTCCCCAACCTGCTCCTCAAAGCCGTCAAAACTTTCTATTCCAGCTCTCGAATAACTAAATCAAATGAATCAAAACCACTGACAGCAATAGGCAAGCTTCCATCACCTTCTTTCAGTGTTTATATATAATTATCCTGCCCACCGGTATCGCTACAAGTAGCCAACAGTTTAAACTGCTTCTAGGGAAAATAGATGGCTGTCAGTAAATGAATCACTTTGGAAGACCAATTCCAGTCATGATAAAGATTCAGCAGAAGGATGGGAGGAGACAGGTGGGAAGTGCACTGTATGGGACTGGTTAAACAGTCAGTGGAAAGATTTGTACAGAATACGGGGTGCCTTTGGAGAAGGTCATTTTCCATCAACTCTGACACTCCTTGGCTCAGGAATTGATGGCACTCTAAGGAGCATATTGAAAAATGGAAAGCTGAAATACCATGGATGAATGAAAGAACATTTACTGATCTACAGCTGGCTGGTACCTCTTTGTTCCAGAACAGCAGTGATAAGATGTAGGGAAAAGGGAGATTTTATCAATGGAGAGACTAGACTCATTTGTTAAGGAAATGGAGATACCATCTGAGCAGAGGAGGCTGCCAGTGAAGCTGATGGAGCAGCGATGGGAGGGAAGGCATTAAAACGTATCTGTCAGGCACATGGTGTGCCCAGAAAAGAGCTGTGAGAGGATTCGATCCAACTTGAGTCCTCATCCTTCTCCACAGCTGGATTGTGCCAGTCTGTTCTTTCAGGAAGGATCTTCTAGCAAACCCCCAGAGCACCTCTTTGAGTAACCCAGGATGAATTCTTGCACCCTTAAAACCAAAGCCTCCACCCACTAAAAAGACTTTTACTGAATTGAACCCTTAGCTGAGAAAGAGCAGCCAAGCTCAGGCTGTCGTGGCCTGCAGTCCTTCCACTCTATGTACAGCTTTATAGGAAAACGAGCACACAAGCAGCTTTCTGCAGGCCAGGAGTTGGGGTGAGGACCAACATGTCAGCTACTGTCCAAGAGTGCATTTTCACCCTCCAGGTCACATGAAGAAGAGCTTTCACAGAGGAGCAGTTTAGCTTGTATTTACCACACGTTTTAGCCTTGCCCACTGGTGGGTGCTGCAGAGTGATGTGACATGCAGGAATTCACACCTTAGCTCCTGACACCCCTATCCTTGGTACAACACATTAGCTGTTTGTGTATGATGCTCTGCTCATGCCTTATGGGTATTACTTTTTTTGGCCATGATTTCATGATACACAAAATAATCAGGAGTGATAGAAGCCTGTTGTACAGAGCTCCTCTGAGGTGTCAAACACTGGTTCCTTGTAGGCAAACCCAGCAGAGCTGGAGCTCTCCGTAGAGGACTCGTATCATCAGAATTACAAGGCTTTTAAATAATACATTGTGAGCTTTGACTTCCCGTTAAGCAAAGGCTCACCACTCACAGCTGAACTTGAATTCACAAGAAAGGTCACCTGTTTATTTCCAAGACTGAGACAAATGGAGTCTATCTCAAGCACACAAACAGATCTGCCTGAAGTGGAGGGGGTGTGTGAGTGTGTGTGTGCATGCACACAAATTAGGTGGGACTGCTTGCATGCATAATTGAGGAGAGTGTTTGTATTTTTACAGGCTGCAGGACTGCAAGGTAGGTTTCCCATCATCAGCAAGGCAGTCAGGTCCCTGCCTGCCTGGTTGAAAACTGAAGAATGTCCGTATCAAGGGCAGATTTGCTTGGGCATCAGTTATCCCCAGCTCCCTCTGAAGCCTACATCATGCTGACTTGGCTATGAATGCTTAACATTAACAGACAGAAAACGGAGGAAATCAAGTGGGAGCTGAGGGGCTCAGCATCTTGCAGGCATGGCAAGGAAATGTGGGCACTCTAGTCCAGTGGAACAGCTCAGGCCAGGGTGGTTTTGCTGTCCACGCTCCCTTTACTGCATGTGAGGAAGTAAGGAATCTCCAGATAGCAATTCCAGCAGTCAGTAAACAAGGCAAGAAGTTACAAAAGGTAAATAGGATAATAAGACAATAAGGAAGAGTCTTAAATTCTTCCTTTTCAGGGTTTGCAAAACTTATTGAAGCCTATAGTGGGAAAGTAAATTCAACCTATCTCGTGTTAGGTGCTCAAGTCTGTTTGCAGCTCTAGCTCTTAGTAGTGAGAACCTCAAGAATCAGGTCCTAAAAAAGGCAAAAGGGAACAAACCATCAAAACCTGACCTTTTAAATGGGGTTTATTCCATTTTAGGTATATTTCCCTGATCTTTATTTTCCTGAATATCTCACAGGTACACATATTGAATGAAGAGCAAAAAGAGGCACACATGAGAAGTCTACTTTGACAATGTCAATGTTGTTACAGTTCCATAGGCTGACTTGAGGATATTGATTTCAGTCTATTTATACATCTGCCTCAAGTGTTTTCAACAAGGTAATTTGCCACGAGACATAAACTGAAGCAAATTAGGTTTCATTTTGAAAGTCCCCTCGCTGTCTATGGATCTAACAGGAAAACCCATTCATAAAAAGAGACAAAGTGATGGATTTGAGTAAATATATCCCTATTTTTAAACTTCAGTGGGTCATTTGACATACATATGGGCATCGTATGAAAATTCTTATGCCTAGAAGACTACAGCTACAGTATAAGGCCATATGCCAGGTTGTTTCAGGCTGTAGAAGAACTGTTCTGATGGTTAACAGATACATGCTTAGTAGCTGGCTGGACTGAGGCTCATGGTTCCAAACCTCAGGTCATTTAAATCAAAGGTTGCAAGCCAGATGAATTGTCTGTGTTCTTAATTAAAACTAGAGCAGAAAAGGGAGTGGGTGCAGTTAATTAAATATTTTCCCAATGCTTTTATTTGACCAGTCCCTGCACTACTCTATGATTCAATGTACGTACCTGAGAGTGTTGGTAATATTGCATGGACATTTCTTGTTGCATTTCAGGCCATAAAACCCTTCTGGACACATTCTTTCTTGGCAATAAATCCCTTTAAATCCAGGATCACATATGCATGCTCCATTTACATGGTAACACTTTGCACCATTTTGGCAGTCACATCGTTGTGTGCACTGAAAGCCGTATGTCCCAATAGGACACTCTTCTTGACACCTGCAATGAAGTATATGAGACAGGATCCAATCAAATGCTGTAGCTTAGTCTGCTTCTGACTTTTACACAGGGACGTTGTTGTTGATGAATGAAGTACAAAATTATTGCTCATTTATTTGAGTAATATACTGTGGATGATGGTATCAGTGGAGTGGTGCGATATCTTGGGCACACAAAGTGCTGTTAACTGAAAGTGCATTAATCTCTTTCTAATTATATCCTGCAAAATTTGCATTAGTTAATATTACCTTAGTTAACAAAGTGCATTCTTGTTTCCTGGACCTTGACAATCCCATTCATCAGCCATAAGAAACTGATAGGGAATAAGACACTTTATAAAAACCCCCTCATCTCTTTGCTTTCTCTTTATTACAGAAGGATCATGCACCTTCTTTAAAAGCATATGGTCCTCTTAGTGCTAATGAGGATTGAAAGGGAACGTGCTCTATTAAGTAATACTGAGTAAAGTGCTCTCCAGCAATGTGTAGTTTTACTTTCCCTCCATGCTGTCACTGCACCAGATTTATACCAACTAGGAGAAAATAGACTCCTTTGTCTTTTTTGTCTGTGTTCTGAGTAACTAAAGCTCAAATTTGCTTTTCATCTCCTACTCCGGGGATGCTCAGTAGTATAAAATCCCAAGACAAATCACTTTCACGCTCCTTAGTGTAGTATGCTCTCCAAAATTGCCCACATTTTTAATATTTGAACCTGCAAACACTATACACAGATTGCTTTAAATTGCACCTTCCACGCACTGTTTAAAATATGTCCCTACTGGATACATGATGAAATCTGCCAAAAAGTCTCTTTCGTTGTCCTACACAACCAGTTTCAGTGTTCCTAATATTTCCTACTTTGACAAGCTCAACTAAGGTCCTACAGAAAGCAGCTGATTCTGTGCTTGACACAATTCAGTGGTTTCCAGATTCTGCAACGAGTCAGTCCTACAGTTTACGTGATCCACCGTGAAATACAGACAGACCTTTTCAAACAGAAAAAGAAGCCCAGAAAAGTCCAATTCCCTTATCGCGTGGATGCCAGATATTGGAAATTGCCTATCAGCATTAATTTAATCCTGAGCATTGATTAAAATGTATACTGTAAACTCAGTGGATAGAGGCAATTGTTAAATGTCTTTCTGCAGGTCATTTCACAGCTGGCAGGTGAGAGTTAATATTATGATCAGTAATAAAAGATTAATGTGTGGTGCAAGCCAGGCAAAACTGCAGTGAACACAGTCAGTGTATAAGAAGAGCATTACTTTTGCAGCTTTAGATGATCACAGTTTGCTAAAAATAAATGAACAAAACAAAAGGCCTAGCTAGTGATTTAACTGCAGCAAGCATCCACACAGCTACTAGTTATACAATCCAAGTTCAGGAGTTCAGATTGGAGCCAAAGAGAGAGAAGCCTGTGACAAACAGGAAAGGAAAGAGCCCAGGGAATCACCAGTGGCACTGGCTGCTCTCCCTGCTGCTCTCAGGGAAGTTCAGCTGCAAAGGAAGTAACCTACAAAGAGTGGGTAACATTAGGACTGAAACACTCAGCAAATGAAATGCAATGAAGATCATATTAAGATGCCTTACGCCTCTGCTGCTGTATACAGCTCTACTAGTTAGCAGGAGAACACTGTACTCAGCGAGATGAATACTCAGTCAATAGTGCACTGTATCATTCTATATTTATAGAAGATGAAGCATTACCTAGCAGGGAGAAAAGCATCTGGAAATGAAATATTGACGACCTAATCTATTTATATAATTAGCCTTTTTCTACTAACAATTTAACCAACTTACTTATTTGGAGATCAAGCAGCTACCGCTAATGAATTTTATACAAAGAATACTAATAATGACTCCTCTGGAACATAAGAATAATCACAGCAGGAATTAGCTTTCTACTTAAACATCTTTCCTTTGCAACATATCAATCTAATGTGTCCACAGCACCATTAACAACCAGATACATTGTTCAATTAAATTACAAAATGAGCTGCTAAGCCCTAGTTATGTTTCTTGTTTAATTTACATTGCTTTCTGCCTATCTGGGGACATTTGTATTATAATATCCACTGAACTTTAATATGTACTATAATTATTTGGGTTGGGATAGGATAATATGGCTGTCACCTGTAGAATTAATGAAAGCAATTTCGGAAAATATTAAGCATAAGACAGCCTGTTTAACAGATGAACTTACCCCACACACCTACATTCTTTTCAGATATGTTTTCTTCACAGAATAATGCTGTAAAAAGTATTTTAGGCTTTTCTGTTTGTTTATTTTGAAACCATGCTACACTTAGGTAGCACACACAAATACTAAAAGCCATCCAAAACACACTAACCTGCAGATTGCCATCCTGTAGAGAAAAGATGCAGGTGCAAACACAACAACAAGAGAATTAGTCTGCTCATAGACTAAACGTGGTGTTTGTTCTGCGAGCTTTAGTTTCAACAGCAATACAGAAAACAAAGTTCAGACAGTATGTTCGTATTTCCCATCAGCTGCTCAACTCTCAGACACCCCATCCTTAGCTTCTAACTGTGCTTCTGCTATTATTCCTTTCCAGTTTGCAAAACATACATTTATGTGACACAGGCAGTCATTGCAGCAGAGCACAAAGCTTCCTGGAGTTATTAATAGTGCTTGCTGATTTCCTAGATACTCAGTGCAGAGCTCCTTCCTGGAAAACAGGTAGGCAACAAAGGTGGCAATTACACTTACATGGACCTTTATGACCATTTTATCCCCACAGATATTTATCTAAATGTATGTTCTTCATGAGACGATGCCCTGCGGCATTATTTAGGACTTACTGACTTAGTAGCTAAAGTGTATTTACATTTTTATTGTGGTTATTCAGAATACCTGTTGTTCTGAAGAAAATTTTTTCAGTGCCTTGTATAATTTAATAGAGAACACTACCTTGTTGTGCAGCAGCATTCTCCTGCTATCCTTGCAATTACACTGTAACACTGCAACACTTGCATGAGATCCAGAGCGTAAAATAGACTTTAAGCTACAACAGTGCTGACTACTCTGTCTCATTGTCCATGCTGTATGAACACCTAACTAGGGAAAGCAATTTAGGCTTTTAAAGACCTTGTGCCCACTGCTGTCCTCACTGAAATCAAAGGGCAATGTGCCCTCAGCAAGCTGTAGTTAACAGCAAGGTAAGGGTTTGTGTGCCTGTGGAGAGCAAACCATCACAGGCAGCATGCTGTCCCAGCCCAAGTGAGAGGCCAGACTCCAACTGAACATAACGAGCCTAAGGTTTCACTTCCCTACTTGAAGGCTGATTAAAGACTGATATATAAATATGTTTTAACCTTCTGAGAACCCATTTGAAAGGTGGGAATTTCTAGGCTATTGCAGCTTCTCCCTGCTGCTAGAAAAGCTTTCCAAACTGACAGTTCACTGAACTTTCTTCTGTTCTCATTCATCCCTCCACCCTCCTGCATTTCTGCTCTTCAGCCTCTCCTTTCAGTGCCTACATTTTACTTCCCTGCTCCAGGAAGGGGTAGGTGAGCTTTCTACTTGCCACCTCCTTTCCTCATTCCCAACATGAGTTATATTGGCAGTTGAGCAAAGAAGCTGGCTCAGCACTGGGCTGCTGCTGGGAGCTCCTGACAGCTCTCACAGTTTTGATTCACCTACAGCCAGAAATCAATCTAGGTCTGCAATAATCAAATGAGGAGACTTAGAGAGAGAGGGCCTGTGTCAGCTTCCTGAGCATGGCCAAAACTTGGGATTGACACGGGGACAACTGGGGATTTACATGCGGTCACCAGTGTAAGTGTCCAGGCTGCACCGTTGCTTCTTTTAGTGCAATTGTCTCCAAAAGGAGAGAGAGAGAGAGAGAGCTTTTGTTAGCAACAATAATTAAATGGTACCCAGTGGCTGAAATCACTGTCTCCAGGTGGAAGATGGGAGAAGAGAGACACCCTGATGTCTTCTCCACTAAATTAATTTGAAATAATTCATATTTCCACCATAGTCAACCACATGCAAATCCTGATGTCACCTCAAGAGCCACCTCCAACTACCACTGTCTATAAATGGGATCGAGGAACTTCCACGTTTAATGGGGAAGAGCACAGCCTTCTGAACCCTGAAGGTCAGTCTCTTTGTGTGTTATAAAGACCTGATGATTATACAATGAAGCAAGAAACGAGAAATTCCAATGAGCAGGGCTAAGCCAACATGTGCTGCAATCCCATCTTGACTTTGCTGTGTAGTCATTTTGCTGAATCCACGACACCTTTGTAGAACAATATTATCACCTCCTCTGATAGATTTATGGGTGAAGGCTCTGGTTTATAAATTCTGAGGATTTATCACCTTTTGTTGGTGCCTGAGATGGATCAGTGCTGCAACAGCACAGAAGGGGCTGAAGGAAGCATTAAACTGCTGCCTTGCTCACTCTCAAGGATATTAATTTATATAAATACAGTTCATTTACATATCTTGTAAACATGCAATGCTCCCTATTAAATTTATCACTGTAAATATCTAAATTAAATGTAATCCATTAGATTTTAAGTTATATTAAAAAAAAAACCTGTAAGTGAAGAGAAGTGCCAATAAAAAGTAGTAACATTACCACATTTATACTACTCGAACTGCTTCAGAAGGATGAACCTAACTGGAACAATGGAAACATAGCACCATTTTTCAGAGAGTGAGATTGTTCTAGAAGGGGTGTAAATATTGCCAATCCATGGTTAAAACTAAAGGCTTTTGGGGCTGATTTTTACCTGTCTCCTATATAGCCAGCTGTGCAGATGCATTTTCCTGTCACGGGATCACAGTGTCCTCCGTTGTGGCATGGGCAGTCCTGGCTGCAGTTAATTCCAAATGTTCCAGGAGGACATGGCTGTGCACACACCAGCCCCTGGTAAGGTTGGAGAAAGAGCAATAGTTCAGTCAACATTCATAATGCAGTAAATGTCTATATGCAGCTTGGGTTTTTATCGCCTTTCTCGCTAAAACTAGATCTAAGTGTAGTGGCAATATTCTTTCTGTTTAAGATGGGCTAAAGACAATCTCAAAACCTAAGGGAATACTTAGGAAGAGAGGGACTGTTGGAATAGCTGCACCAGGAGGATGAAGTTCTGCTAGTTGTGATAGCCTACAATGATCTCCCCTGTTCAGACAGCCCTGCTTCCACCAAACATGAAGACCAAATACAACTGCTGGAGAAGTCCCCTACTGCTTTTCAGATCCTGCCTACTTCATCCCTTTACTCTTATCCAGCCTTATCTCTTCAAGCAACACAAAATGGTACCTGCCAGGGCTTTGTCTAAGACATGGAGAGGACAGCACAGCAACCGGAGACTGGGATAGCTGCAGAAAGCCACCAGTGATGACATAAAAGCAATTTGATTGTCTACATCAGCAGTGCAGCAGCCTTGGCCAGAAAAAGTGATTTTGTACTGGAATATCTGCCTAATCCCCCAACACTGCCTGGATGCATCATCCAACATCCTCCCAGCCCCTAATCCCCAACTTTGGAGCCACATCTCAGTCCCTGACCTGCTTCGATTCCACTTTTTGCTGGCCAAATCCCCATCTCTAAGCTGTTTCCTCCTTCCCCTCCCTGCTTAACCATCACTGAAAGTCAAGAAAAGAGACTGTCACTTTTGCTTGTGCTCCCTGGCACTGCTCATAAGGAAAAGCAGTTGCTGGGCAAGACCTATTCCAGCTGTTCAGCCCTAGGGCAGAGAATGCTTACCATAGGCTGTGCCTTTGGAGAATTTATCTGCCAAACTCAGGTGGTTTTCCCCCAGGTATCCCATAATATCCCTACCAAGTATCAAGGCCTTACAGGGATTTCCCAAGACTTTGTTAGAAGTTGTATGAATGTTTTTTCATATGAACAAACACAAAATCTGAGACTGGCACCCAGCTGAGGAGCTTCAGCCAAAACAAGTCTGGCAGTGCTGTGATCTGAAGATGGGGTCCTATAACGGGAAACGTTTGGCAACTGCAGCAAGTGGTGCTGCTGCCAGTGCCATGCACAGTGCCCAGCATCTGAGAGAAACAGTGGGGTTCTGTCCCTGTTATTGCTTTGTTTTAATCTCTCAGAAGTCTTATTTCCCCAACCAAGCCCCAGGGGCTCTGTGTTGTGAACAAGACACGTATTAGACACAACTTATACAGAACATAAGCCAGGAACATAACAGCTGCTTTCACTCCTTGGGGTTCTTGCTAAAGCAGTTTGGGAAGTTTAGCAATATCAACAAGCCCAAAGTGGAGAGGCTGCTCTTCAATGTAATCACAAAACATACTTCAAGCCTTTCCCAGCCAGTGAGAGGTGGCTCCTTGGCTGTTAAATGGACAGGTTGGCCTCAGATCAAGAACTTTCAGATTACAGTGTTAAAAACCTGGTGTCTCTGGACTTGAGTGATACACAGCACTATAGATCTGGAAATGGAAGTGTCCATTTATCTTGGTAATAAATACTTTCTCTCTGCACGTCGCAAAAGCAACAGGATTTCTATCAAAAAATGATGAGAAAGCAATACTCTGTGATGCATCCCCCCAGAGCTGTGAGCATCTTTAGGCATACTTTTTGCATTAATATGTACTAAAGGAATCCAAACCATCCCTCTCTGGAGAATCAAATGTCAGACCAACGTTTCCTGCTGCTTATACATCTAATCAGTAAAGTTCACCCCATCAGCACCTTTTTTAAAGCCCTGATCTCATCAGCTTCTGCTTTTGACATGATTTCCTGTATTATTACCATTTTGTAGCAGAGAAAAGATTTTTTTCTGCTCCATTTTCTCTCAATCCCATGTTTAAAATCCACAATGAAAGGAAGAATAGACAAAAAATACAAATTACAGTTGCTTCCTAAAGCCCAGAGCAATGAGGAAGAAGTGATTGGCAGAATGCGTTGTATTAACATGGCACCATGATGCAGAGCCTTGAGGATGGGATCTGGGACCCAGACAGGGTGTGTTGCCAGTGACTAATGTTGTGTCATGTAAGGGAAGATTGTAGCTTTCCTGAGCAGGCAGAGACTCCTTCAAAAGTGCTTCTGAGAAGCATCGTAAATGCTAAATTTAACTTTTCTCCCTAGTTCCTGAGAGTGCTTGGAGAATTTAATACTGCAAATGAGAAAGATGTATAGAATTAAACCTGTAAATTGTTAATGAGGCCCTAAAGCAACCACCCGCCAACTCCCACAGCCACAAAGACACAGAAGTGGAAAAAGCCCAACACTGTAGTGGGCTGGAAGGCACATTTTGTTGACTGGTTCAACAACATCTGCTGGGAGTCAAAATCCTCTTGGTGGAAAAAACATGGGACAGTAAAATCCTCACAGGACACAGCTCCTATAACTTGTTGTGCTTCTGGGAGAGGCTGCACTGGGTGGGAGGAAGCAGGAGGAAAGAAGTATTACAAGTCATAAAAGAACCAGGCTTTGAAGATGACAGACCCAAGGAAGAACCCGAGAACCCAGAACTTCTCCTATTCAACTTACTGCCTCCCCTTGCAAGTCCCACAGGCAGCCAAGCCCCTGAGGGAGCTGAACTGCTGTTAATAAACCTATCCTAGGAAAGGATAAAAGTTGCAGCTCACCCAGCAGCAATAAAATCCAAGTATAAATCCAGGGAGAATTCTTTCCTTCCAACGTGATGGTATATTCAACACATCCGTGCAGTCTCAAGCCTCAAAATCAGCAAGTAAAATTCCTGATGTCAAAGCAAGACTATCCACGGTGTGAAATAAAATGAATTCTGTCTAGCAAACCCATCTCGCTTGCTCATTTACAGCCCACTCATGTCTCACTTCCCAACCCATTCCCACCACCAAGAGTTAAAAATATAGCATGAAGAAAGTATTTTCTTTCTCTGTGTGTACTGGATTACCAGCTTTTCATTAAAACCCCGGAGGGACCCTTTATAGTTAAAATCTCAACATTTACAAGCTGAGTGCTTTTACTTATAATTTCAGTTTCTTTCCCCGGAATACTTGATCTCTCTCTTCAGTTTTAAGTTATGCTTGTTTCAAACATCAATTGTTAACTCTGGGGTTTCTCTGGGGACAGAGCAGCCAACAACACACTTTTCAGGAATGTCTCTCTGGGCCACTAAAAATGCAGAGAAGAAACTCCAGGCTATAAGGAACAGGGCAGAAATGTGCAGGAATACACGACCATAGGTGCTGTGCAGCCCCAGTGCTGCAGCTCTTCTTCAGGGTCTATGCTGCATCCTAAAGGACCCCTAAAAACTTCCTGCTCTCTTCTGACTTCTCACCTCTTTAGTGACTTTTAACTTTGCAAAAATAGAGAAAACTCCTGATAAAATATGGATAAGGAAGAGTACAGCAAACCAACTCAGATCCTGAGAAATACTGGCATCAGAATCATTGAATCCCAGACTGGTTTGGGGTTGAAGGGACCTTAAAACTCATCCAGTTTCAATCCCCTGCCACGGGCAGGGACACCTTCCACTAGAGCAGCTTGCTCCAAGCCCCTGTGTCCAACCTGGCCTTGAGCACCCTCAGGTGAGGCGCTCACCCTCATAAAACATATTTTTATGTTAATCCCTTTATTGATCACTTGTAGCAGTAGTGCCAGAATGGACTGATCAGCCCTCAGAAATAATCTGAATTGCTTCCTTTGTGCTTTAGCTCCAGTACTCTTTCGGAAAGAATCTTTGCTTTGTCTCTGCTGAATGCCAGTGGAGGGTAAGGTACAACCCTCTTACTTAGAAGCTATGCCTACTTTGACACTTGAAATGGAATAGCATCACCACCATCTTTGCCATGACTGGCCAAGTTAGAGACTCCAACTCTCCAGTTAGGAAGAGATTTTCCATGCACAGCTTTCATCAGAAATTATGGGCAGCAATCTTCCTCTCGCATGTTGCTGCCTGACAGCCACCAGAATCTTATGGTTGGTACTTTTAAGCTGAAAGCAGCTTTGTCATCAAATGGAGGCAGCATTTGCTCTACTAATCTACTAAAAGAATATGAACATCTCTCTCTGGTCTTAAATGTTTCTACAGATGCAAGGCCACATCAGAAGCCACGGCTGTATGATGATCTTCAGGGTCTTCCACATATTAAAATACAAAGTCACAGCATTTGTATGCATTAAAATCCAGCAAGATTGCCAAGAGACTAATTGTTAGATACAGGAAAAATGCCAGGAAATTTAGTACAGCTAAATGGTGTGTGTGGGCCTGTGAGACTTGGCAACCCCCAAGAGAGTTAATTATTACATTATTGATAAAGTTGAGGACTTTTAAAATGTTTGGCCTTGCTTTCTTGACACAAGGGATTAAAGGTTAGGGCAATTTGCTCTCTCCAGTACAATGCCTGATGCAAGCAAATCTATTGCAATCAATGGGAATTATGCCTGAGTAAGGACAGGACACTGAAGCAGTCTCTGGTGCTGTGCATAGTGCTGCTTTCACAACTGCCCAAGCCACTGAATTCCCCTTTGCTTTTCCCTCTTTCCTGAAGGGGAAATGGGACAGTGCCTTCGACAGTGTCTAAGGCCGCAGGGAATATCCAAGGAACTGTAATTCAGAGACACATTCTCCTACGTAGAAATGTAATAAGTAGAATCATCATAGAATCACATAATGGTTTGGGCTGGCTCACCTAGTTCCAACCACATGCCAAGGGCTTACTGTTTGTTTAATACCGTGGTAATAGCTACTTAGAGTGGTGGCCTGTCTATGTCAGTGCTGTGCACGTGTAACAAAGGTGGTCCCAACTCCAGAACTGTTAGAGCCTTGTAAGAAATACACATCACAAGCACATAGAGAAGGCTTCTCCTGAGACACTGAACAACTAACTTCCTATTCCTACCTCTAAATGAGTATGAACAAAGTACACACCGTCCATCCAGGAGGACAGGAGCACTCTCCAGTGATGTGGTGGCAGACTCCTCCATTCTGGCATGGGCAGCGCAACTCACACTGAGCTCCGTGGCTGCCTGGGGGACAGCGTTCTTCACAGCTTTGTGGAGGGAGAAGGAGCAAAGAAGAAAGAGATCACTGAAAAGAACTCAGAGAACACAGTAAATGAGGAACGTCCCCAACACAAGTCATCATGGGAGTCCTTATGTACATTATGAAACCTCAGCAAGCCTCAGCTGGCATTACAAACTACCCAAGATTTCTTCTATTTCAGTGGGATTTATTTATGTGCCATGGATTAAGGGCACTGTAAGGCTGACACATGTGTGTAACATTTATGCACATAAACATTACATAGTCACTACTGTGTTAATATTTAGTAGTGACTATGTAATGTTAATCATTTAGTCACTACTAAATACATTTAAGTCACTACTAAATACATATAAGTCACTACTAAATACATTTAGTCACTCCTAAATGTTAACATTTGCAGTTTAAAATGGACTGGCAAGAACTCAGCATCATTTAAAGGCTATTTAAGCTCATTTGGTCTCTCTCAGTATTCATGGGAGGCCAATGTAAGGTTAATCCCTGCAAAAACTAGTGTCTCCTACATTTGCACATTGGTGCTTTCCAGTATTACTTCTTCCTGTAACCCCAGATTCTGGAAGTGCAGCAGGTTCTTCCCCTAACTGACTACCCTCTGATGAAGATGTTCATACATGTCAGGGATTGGCCCTGCAAGTACTTACTGCTGAGAACTGGCATACTAATGCCAATGGGACCACTGTAATAGTCAGCAGAGACTTTAGCAGTGAGAGCTTCCAGGGCTGAGGTCACAACCCTATGAGGAAATCAGGTACTAAATAAAATATTCAAGAGGTCTATCACTTATTTATGATGGTTAATATTATCTTTATCTTTTACCTTCCCCTTTATGCAGGTCAACAAATAATATTAGACTGCAGAAGTATGAAGTCACCTGTAACAGATCTCCAACCAAATTCTAAACTGAATTCTCTTTTCCCCTTAAATAATTTTGAAAAGCATAATTACTTCTGAAACTACTGAAAGCTCTCTAATGAGAAGTGATGTTACCCTGTGAGCAATGTGAAACGAGGAACTATTGCTTGCTGTCCTAAAATTAATATGCGGATTTTGTGAGTCCTACTGGTAAACCTTCAGTGTGGTGGATGGGGACTCAGCTACATGATTCTTGTTAAAGTTAATAGGAGTCACACCGCTAAATCCCTGCTCACTATGCTTAAAATTTACCCCCTAGATAGTAAGCTGATATAGTTAGCAGCAGCGCTTCCTCAGTTAGATTGAAAGTCAAATAAACTGGGGATGGTAAGTCCCATTTGGTACTGCATTGGACTGCTAATGACTAGAATGTCCAATTGCTTATAAAAACATAACTGTAATTTGGATTGTATTCACATACTGAATTACGAGCAGGTACAACTGTTGTACAAGCTGGAAGATATAATGGATTTTTAAATCCACTTTAGCACTACATTTTATTTTATAATGCAGATGGGTATAATAAGCAGCAAAAAAAGAGCCTGATTTAGTCTCAAATTCTGTTACCCGATTTCTAGGAAAGGAAGTGTACAATACACAGACTGTGTGAATTTTGCCGTTGTGTTAAAAGTGGTTAAAGCAGGGTTTAATGATGCAGAGTAAAATCCACCCATCACTGAACTTACAATACCCCGGTGTACCCGGGAGCACAGTGACATTCTCCGGTCCTGTGGTCGCAGGTGGCTCCGTTGTGGCACTGGCACTCCAGCTGGCAGCCTTTGCCATAGGTGCCAGGGTCGCAGAGCTCCTCACAGCGCCAGCCTCGGTACCCGTCTGCACACACACAGGCCCCGGTGATGGGGTTGCACAGGGCCTCATTCTGACACTGGCAACGGTTGCTGCAGTGGGGTCCCCAGTGGTCGCTGTCACAACCTGGAAAACACACAGTCATTTACAGGGTGATTAGGAAAGTGCATCACAAGCACCTCATCCCAGCCCCCTGTGCTCAGCTTGGGAAGCAGGCAGAGGCTCTGTTCACACCAGGAGCTTTCTCCAGTTACCCCCCTGCACTTGTATTACATCTAAATTTGAGGACTTTGTTTAACACCCTTATTGGATCAGGAACTAAATCTTTTAATATCCTGTTTCTTAGTGCTCTTAGATAGCTGAAAGGAATGAATTTATAGTGGAATCAGATGCAGAGTATCACATCCTGACTGCAGCGTAATTAATGGCAGGCAGTATGGCCACTCAAATCTTGTAGATTGAATAATGTCATCAAATACTGTTTCTTTGCACTCGTTCCCATAAGATAATAAATACGGTAATCAAAAGAAGGATTTCTTTGGTGATGTTTTTGGGGGTTTAGGGGTTTTTTCTTGGAGTAAGGAGATGGTAAGGAAGAAAATAACACTGGAGACGGGATTTCCTGAGGCTGACCAGGCTTAGGGTGAAGGTGTGGAGTGTAGATGTCACGTAATTTCTGTGCTGATACAGTTAGCACTATACTAGCATTACACTAGTACATACAGCAGTAGCATGTACATAAAACAACATGTACTAGTGATACAGAAGGACCCCAAACCCTACAGTCAGTGACATGGGGTAGAGGTTCCCAACGGAAACAACCAAAGCACAGTGGGTACCCTCCACATGACAATCCTGCCTGATCCCTCCTCCTTGTGTGTGGACCACAGGCAGCATAAGAGAGGGAAGTCAGCAATATAGAAGCAGTCTGATCCTGGCTTGCTATAAAAACAGCAAGTGGCACCTGCAAAAACCCCCTTTAAGATGTACACATACTGAACAAACAGCTCAAAGCAAGCACCCAGAGGTTAAGCTTTTCTCAGTAAACTTACATGACTTCAAACTGACAGAAGGGAGATTGAGATGGGATTTTAGGAAGAAGTTCATCTCTGTGAGGGTGCTGAGGCGCTGGCACAGGGTGCCCAGAGAAGCTGTGGCTGCCCCATCCCTGGCAGTGTTCAAGGCCAGGTTGGATGCAGGGGCTTGGAGCAAGCTGCTCTAGTGGAAGGTGTCCCTGCCTGTGGCAGGGGGCTGGGACTGGATGCTTTAAGGAGCCTTCCAACACAAACCATTCTAGGATTCTACGATTTGCCAAAATGGTCACCTACCCACCGCTCAGTAGCCTTTCAATACAGCTATGTCAAGGGTGAAGAAAATCATCATTCTCATCAGAACAGAGCTGCTGGCAAAATTCCTGCTGAAGACCCAACTACAGATCATTTTCCAGGTACAGCTGGTTTTGATTATACCAACAATTCTTCTGCTAACATAAAATCCACCGCCGTGCAGGGCGCGAGTGTCTTCACAAACTCTCTTTATTTGCCAACAAGAGCGCTAATCCCCAGGTGACACTGGCTGCTTCGAAGGCCTGGATCTCTGCTTCCAAACTTAGCAAGGTAAATGTAAAACCGACTTAATGCTGGTGCTCTTGCCCTAGAAATTTCATAGCTCTCTCCTTCTACAGTCCATGGCTATAAACCCACACAGAGTGACCGTATCAGTTAATTTTGGCAGTATTTTTGTCCTTCTTCATGAGAAGCAGGTTGCTACTGGTCCCTGAGAGGATGTTCAACAGCAAAGGGAGAGAGCCTTCATTCAATTTGCACTGCTGATTGCCAGTTTACAAACTTCTGTTTCTTGAGCAAGTGTTAAAGGCCAAAATAAACCCGTAAGAAGACAGTTACAGGGTCTCCAAAAGGATCTGCAGGGTCTTACAGGACGCAGAGATGGTTTCATGTCCTGCAGAAAGCAGAACACGCAGTGTACCCCTGTGCCTAATCCTGGTCCTGCCTCACGCAAGATGTTTTATTGCTTTGCCTCCTCTTTCCCACAGCTGTAAACAGTGATGATAGTTCTGCACTGACACCACTGGGAGCCGAACAAACAAAATCTCACTCTTTATAAGTCTTAAATTATTACTGAGAATCTGTGGAAAGAGATGATCCATCTTTATTTCATATAGACACTTGCTAAGGCTCTGTAAGCCTTCTGGGGCAGGGAGCAAATCTGCTGGAGCTGATGGAGTTCCCCAGCAATTTCTGTTCCAGAAACACTGATTTGTTTTCTGCAGAACTTGAACACCAAGGGATGCAGTTCTGCACCTCCACAAAGGGTACACATCTGAACCACAGCCCTTTGCATCGGGAAGTGGAATGTGGGAATCAAACTTAACCCTGCCCGCTTCAGGGACTTGGTTCCTACCTCATCACACCTCGCTTCGAGACCTGACTGCCAGACTGTGGGCTAATATAATTCCAGATGCAATTAATTTGCTTAATAGGAATAAATAACACTCACTAGAACATGTGAATTATATCCCTGATTTTCTATGCCTCAGGTGAGCGCTCCACCCATCAGATTTGTCTGCTCTGTTTGTGTTCTTCACTTTGCAAGAATGTGAAGGAGCGAGAAACCCTTTTATAGGAAGGGAAAACCATTTCCCATCATCAGCTCAAGCATCTTATTTCCCATTTACAGTGTCTGCCCTAAACATAGCTCCTTTTATGTAAGTCAGTCTCATTTGAACACTTATTTACTATATATACATATTTGGTCACATGCTTGTTTTCTCCCTGTACCAAATTTCACTCCACAATCTAGCCAAAGGGAAGAGCAAAATGCTGAAGGAAAGAAGAGAAATTCCTCTAATTGGTTTTAAGATCATAAAAAACTGCATCTGGATAATAAAAGAAGCCTGCTGTGACCAGAAAACCAGCTGGCAGTTAGACAGATTCTTCCACAGGCTTCTAAGTACAAGACATCAGTGAACACACATTGCAACATTCAGTATGTTTAGACCAAAGTAGCTAGCCAGAATGTTTTAACTGTCTATGAAATAAAAGAGCTTCACATACCAGATAGCTACTCAGAATGTGAATTTCATGGGGATTTACTAAAGAGAGGACATAAAAATGAGGATTAAAGTACATCTGAATGCTCATGGAAGAAACTGAAAATACAGAATTACAAAAAGATGGGGCTTGTACCAGGTCTCATTTACAATGCCCGATGCGGCCTTTGCACTTGTTAGGCTTCTTTTTATGTTCCTAAAACTAGTAGCAGGTTTTGACTACAGTTCTCTAAATGGTTTGAAACTAGAATCATGGTGTGTGTCTAACCAAGGTGAATATGGTGTGTGTATCTAACAAAGGTGAATATAGTGTGTGTGTAACCAAGGTGAGCATCCCATTGTGCCTCTGGGGACAGGATCCTATATACACACTGACAAGTTGGTCTCTTCTAGATTTAAGTCTTTCCCTCAGATGGTAAAGGTTTTCTGCTTTCAGCTATCAGTTCAAACCCTATTCATTTCATGCAGTATTAATTCATCCACTGCCGTTTAATTGCAAGGGGTATTGAGTATAATTCATTGGCAACGTGTTAGTGTAAAATCTGTGATACTGAAATATCATCCTCACCTGATTTTACACTGCAGCAATCTCACAGGAAAATAAGATCTTTGTTGCTCAAAGTTTACCAGTTCCTGTTCGCTTTCTTTTCCTGCTTTCCTTTAAGCCCCATGTTGCAGTGACAGTCTGTGGAGCTGCAAGTAAATTCTTTACCTATGTGATTTCATTGCGACATTATGAGCTATTTATATTGAGATAACTCATACGTCTGCACTGTGGTAGCCTCTGAACCTTTATAGAGGTAGGCAGATACAGAGTTGATGATAAGCTAAATCCAAGTACTTCTCAAACAAGTAATTTCACTGAGCTCAACAGGACCCCTCGTGTGTGAGACTACTCAAGTGTGTAACTAGCTGTGGGACGAGGGTCTGGTAGTTCCTGTTAGAAAACTAACAAACAGGAGAAAACAAAGACTTCAGCAACCAAGACATACTTTTTCTATGCACATCAGAGTGGTAAATCCTAGCTGGTGTGTTATAGTGATTCCTGTTTCTGAGACACAGGGCAAAGCAGCCTCAGAGCCATGGAAACTGCTGCACTTCTGCACTTCAGGATCATTGGAATCCCTTCTATGGCTGCAGAGAGGCCATTCTAAAATACAACCCAGGCCTAGCACAGTCTGGTCCTGCTCTTTTTCATAGTCCCTGTGTGTTACTATAATGGAGATAAATAATAACAGCAACACCATGTGAACAGAAAGCTGATTAAAGCTTACACAAGTGCTACACTGTAAATGCATATGCCATTAAAAATGTCAAAATGATACAGAGACTTTAACTATACCATCAATAAGAAAAGCAACCTGAGAGTGGTGATGTCAGGGAGGTACAAATGCTCCCTTCAGACTGCATGGATGTCAATACCATGAGAGATGAGTCTGAAATAGCCAGCGCTCCCCTGGGAGATGTTACATTAAAGGGAGCTGCCATATTTCAGGTCACGTGTGAACATTCCCTGGCAAACATGCTAACTTCCTCACTTTTTCTCCTTCAAAAATATGACTGGAGATCAATTGCCACCAATAAAAATGAACATAACTGTAAAGGACGATGCTGGGTGCCTCAGCATAATTGCAGTTGTCTGCATACAGTAGTCTGATGGCTGAAAGAGTCATCCCTCATGGAAAGCTTGCTCAAAACGGGACAGTTTTTCTTCCTCTCTGCATCCCTACCCCTAACTTGGAAGCCTCAGTGAGGGCTAATTGCAGCCAGCTCTGCATATCCAACACTAGTCATGCATGACATCCCGTTACCAGTTCTGTCCTGTGGAATGCTCAAGGAAGACACACTGGAAGTGCTGCTTCACTCCCAAAGAGCTGTTTTACCCTCTAGGAATGGTCAGTGTGCTGTGTTCTGGGTCAACAGAGCTGCCCAGTACTGAGTGCAGCAGCACAAGGTGGCCAGCAACAGGGCAAACACACAAGTCTGAACATTTAGCAGGTAAATAAAAGCTCTCCAAAGGAAGAGATGACATTTATCAAGCAACTTATCCCAACAA